TGCTCAGAGCCCCGTCCAGCCTGACCTGGGATGTTGCCAGGGATGGGGCATTGACCACCTCTCTGGGCAACCTGGGACAGGGGTTCACCACCCTCAGTGTCAAAAATTTCTTCTTTGTATCTAGTCTGGATCTGCCCTCATTTAGTTTAAAACCATCATCCTTTGTTCTATCACAACAGGCCCTGCTAAAAAGTCTGTCCCCATCTTTCTTATCAGCCCCTTTCAGCCCTGGCAGCTGCAGGAAGGTCTCCCCGGAGCTTCTCTGCTCCAGGCTGAGCCCCCCCAGCTCTCCCAGCCTGTCCTCCCAGCAGAGCTGTTCCAGCCCTCGGAGCGTTGCTGGGGCCTCCTCTGGCCCCGCTCCAGCAGGTCCATGTCTCTCCTGTGCCGAGGGCTCCAGAGCTGGACGCGGCACTGCAGGGGGGTCTCCCCAGAGCAGGGCAGAGGGGCAGAATCCCCTCCCTTGACTTGCTGGCCACATGGCTTTGGGCGCAGCCCGGGATATGGTTGGCTTTATGGACTAAACTCCAGCCCTATCACTGATTTCCCCGTGTTTATCGTAGAAGTTACGAATTCTTAGAATTAGAAGTAAATTACTGCTTCATTAGCAGATCCAATTTAAAAGCTTTCATCTGCACCTGTTTGTTTTTTCTCACTCCCCTCTTTGATGGGAATCAGTGGTACTGATTCACATTTTTGTGTCCTGGTCCTCAGAAACTGAAATAAGAAGATAAAAAGTAAGTTTTCCTCCTGTTTCCACCCTGCAAACAGAGCCTCTTAGGTCAGATTTGCTACTGATATGATAACAACAGCCTCGACAACCCACGAAACAACTGGTTTCTTCAAGGCTTTTGTTTGCCTGGTTACATGGGTAACAGGTAAGCAAATGATGAGGGAATGAGAATTGGGAATAAAATACAAAGCCTAATCCACAACAAGCAGCAGGCCTGATTAATGTCAAATTCCCCTCTTGGGGGGGGGAGATTCCTGTGTACCGCCTTGCAAAAGAAAGCAAAGGTTCTCCCCAGCCCACAAATTAAAGCCTGGGGAGGTGGTTTTGAAGCTTAACTAAGGTAAATAATGAAGGCAGCATCCCAGTCCTCATAATCTGAGGCTCTGCCAGCGTCGTGCTGACATCACGGGGAGCAGAGGGAGGCAGGGATCTCATGAGTTGTGTGCAGACGTGTGGGCAAGCTTGGTTTTTGTGATAGGCCTGCAGTATCCTTCCATCCACGGATTAAAAATGGGGAGCTACGTGCTTGCTAGCGCCATGTCCCAGCCCTTGGACAAAGTCTCATTTGCACTGAAAATGTACGCCGATCTGAGGCACCGTATAGAAACGGAGCTGCAGGAAACACGCAGCTCTGGGCTCAGCTCTACCCCATCGTTCACAGCAGATGTGTGTCTAATCTCTTCTTAAAAATCTTCATCGCTGGAGATTTTTATCTGCCTTCTCAGCACCCTCTTCTTGTCCTTATCTGTCCTTACAACTGGAGCATTTGTCCTAAAGTCTAAGCCAAATCTCTCTCCCTGCAGTTTAGGCCCATGAGTCCTTATTCCTTGTGCAGTGAGAAGTTTTTGTGCCACAGCTTTTCCTGAATGAGGAATGGGCTTGGTGTTTGGTTTTTGGTTTGTTTTTTTTTTTTCTCCCAGCTGATGTATGTGGGTTGGTGAAGAGGAGATAAGCCCTCTCCATGCTGGAGAAGTGTTCATCTTTTCTGGGAAAGCTGAGAGGTTTCTGTCCAACCTGTGTGCGCACCCGGTGTTCAACGATTGGGTCGAGTTTGTAGACAGATAAAATGGATAATGCAGCTCCTACTTGCAGCAGTTAAACTATTATTGTTACAGGATGTTGTAATTAAGGAAAACAGGGGTTGGTGCTGGTGAGGTCGGTGAAATTAGTCACTTAAGTAAAGCCAAACACAGGAGATGTCTGGGTTCGCCACCTCGAGTTACCCACGCTTTGCCTTGCAAGTGAACCGTGAACCTTCGGCTAACACCCACCTCCTGATGGCTTGCAGCTCCCTCCTCCAAAGGAGGCTGCAGGTCCAGCAACCTACTGGTCCTCAGTGGGGAAGGATGGGCAAGGAGATAACGGGACACTGGAGAGGAGAAACTCAGTGGTGAACCTGCCCTGCTGCCAAGCAGGAGCTGGGGTGGTTGTTAATCTGCAACACGTGGATTATAACATGGTTGTTGCTGGATACGGGGTTGAAAGCAGGGTGAGATGGGCCATTTGCCATGTTTTTTTGCCAAATGTACCCACTGGATTTCCAGGAGCACACGCATAATCAGTGCAAGGCACAGCTTGGAGATTGTGGGATGGAGAAGATGCTGTTCCTCTGGGGAGCTTGTAAAAATGTTTTTAAATATCAAAGGTTGTTCGCAGACATGTGAAACAGGATAAAGCTGTGAAAAGCTTCATGTTTAGGCCAGCTGCTCTGCACCAGAAATGTTCCAGAGTGGCATTTGCTCGTACACTCATGCCCTACTGCCAGGAGATGTGGAGTTGTCTGTGGTTTGCTGGCTGCAGCCACAGCTGCCTGGCTGCGTGACTGACTGGGGTAAGAAACGCTGATGTTAACAGCTGTGTCTCAACCATCCCAAAAAGTCCAGACCCTGTATTACCTGCATGAAAAAACAGTGCTGTAAAATCTCCCTGGTCTGTATGCAGCGTGTGATGAGCCTCGGCCAAAGCATGCAAATGCAGGTGAGATGATAAATTTAGCCCTGGGCTTGGAGAAGGTCTTTGCCTTTAGCCAGCAAAGTTTCTTACTACCTCAGAGTGGTTTTAGCACAGTTTTCCCTCTGGCTAGCTTACCACAGCTGGCACTGAGCTGCTCTGTTTTATTAGACAGGCCAGTTGGTGCTACAGACAACTTTAAATCATGCTTCAAGCTCAGCCGTTACAACAAAAGCCGTCAGGCTCATTCAGCAGTCTCTCTGGTTATTCTATTTGCCTTGTCTTTATTTTAGGACTCCCTTAATGATGGCTTGTACCAGGCAAAGCGTGGAGGTGATCAAAGCTCTTGTAGAGCATGGAGCCAACCCACTGCTGAAGAACAAGGATGGCTGGAATTGCTTCCACATTGCGAGCCGGGAGGGCCATCCCCAGGTCCTCCGGTACCTGCTGGATGCATCCCCGGGCAGCTGGGACACGGAGAGCATGATAAAGAGAACACCTTTGCACACAGCAGGTAAAAGAGGGTCCTGTTGCCACCAGATGGGTTGGAAGAGGAGCAGGCTGCGGCAGAAAAAGGGCTGTTGTTTCAGTTCACATTTAGTTTGGAGAAGCAAAGCATGACCTATCTTGATACAACAGCACAGGGAAACAATTAAATATTAAGTTATTGAAATTAAATGGAAAGAGGCTAGTCGTGGGCATTAGTGGGAGCTCACCTCTCTGAACTTCAGTCTGCTAACAGTGCTCTGCTGCATCTTTGCAGGGTTTTACCTCAGGACACTCATTTTAGTTGCTTTTGGGTAAATAAACAGTAAGAATTAGGCTTAATATTTCTTAATGATGTGCCAAAGACTGAGCTTGTGAGGGTCCTCAGTTCCCATTTCACTGGATTTTGCCTGTACTCGAAGCATGTTTTTCGTGGTGCGTAGCAGTTATGTTCTCTTGGGAGTGGTGGATCCATCCCAGGAGCACTCACAATCACCCACTGACTTTGGTCGCCTTGGACCAGGGTGTTTGTCTCCATCTCTGCCTCTCTGTGACAGATATGTCCAAGCTCCCACACATTGTAAAACACTTTTCCTTGCTGCCTTATAAAGCTGCGAATTGCATTTGGAAAATGTGCAAGGCTCCAAGCATATCCTGGCATTTTAAAAGTCCTAAAACCAGCAGAGCTTCTGAGAGGCACCTTTTGGGATCTGCCTCTTGATGGACATTTTTACCAGTTTGATTTATAGCCTTGTCAGTTTTTGTAAGGGACGTATCTCTTGAAATGATCCATTTTTGTGCACGTGCTTGCTATGGCAAATCTGAAGAGCCCGTAGGGTCTTTAGGCACGGCCTCTGGAAGAAGCATCGCAGGTTTTGTTACCCTTGCGTTGCTCTCAAGAAGGTAGCACTGAGTGGTGAGAAATCCAGAGTGCCTTTCTGCAAGGGAAAAGGATAGTCTCTGCTGGGAATACACGGGGGCTGTTGTTAGCATTGGAGCCCAGGGTGTCCGATTCCCCTTCTCTGCCCTTTTCTTTGGTTTAAAAGGACACGTAAAGGGAGTGAACTGGTTTGAGGAACCACAGACATCCTCTGTAGACATGGTGGGGAGCAGAAGGACAACAGCTGAAGGGTGTCCCAGAGGCAGTTTGCTTTCTGTGGGGGAGTGATTAATTTTAAAATATAAACAATGCACAAGGTGTGCCTCAGTTAAGTCTTCTGACCCTTAATAAGTTGAATGGCCAAAAATATGTTAATGCAGAGTTAAGTTTGTCCTGCCACATCTCGTTGGCCCTTACAGAGTATCGGGTCTGTTTACCCACAGACCTGAGCAAGCTGGGCAGTACAGATAAAGCATGTGTCTTCCCAGAGCTTAAATCCCCTTAACTCAGCCCTCCAGAGACGCAGTGAGAGCGGACAGTGAAGGGAGAGGTGTGTGACAGCCAGTCGGGGTGATGCTGTGGGGCAGGCTCGGGGCTGGAGGGTGGTCACTGACCTGAATCTGAAACATGCCCCATCACTGAGCGGGGATTAGGCTGTGTGTCCCAGGGCTCGGCAGCGTCTCCACAGGAGAGATGAGCATAGGGAGCCACCGCTCAAAGCTGCAGCTACCTACACTCATTTCCCAAAGAATCTAATAGGGATCGACTCTCCGGAAAGACCCGAGATATCGTGAGGAGACCCCTGCTGTGCTGTAATTAATCTGTTGAGTATGTTGCTCCTTGGCTGTCATTCCCGTTTCTTCTGCAGCCCTCAGGAAGTCACCCGTCCACTGCACTGTGCTCATCAGCAGTGACAGTCCCAGCCCAGGGGCACTGGCTGCGCCTTAGTCCTTGTGCTTGACCTGGGAATGAAAAAAAAGCTGATGAGTTGTTTGATGTTTCAGGCTGGGCAGCGAGGAGCAGGTTGCCTGCATGAGAAATGGCTAATCCTCGTTTATTTGTGCTTTCTCCTGTTCCTGCTCAATCCCATGTCTCGTGTTTCCGTGTCTGGGCTGGCAGGCTGGGCTCGCAGCTCCCTCTCAGCCCTTTGCCCACCGAGAGGTGGATGCTGGGTTGTGATCTGGGGGTTGAGGGTCTGGGGACAGAGTCAGGAGCAGGGTGAGGACTCTCCCGGGGAAAGGGGGTGCTTTTGACCTTCAGAGAGTCACAGAATCTTTGTGTTGGAAGGGACCTTTCAAGGCCGTCTAGTTCAACCCCCCTGCCATAAGCAGGGACATCTTCATCCAGAGCAGGTTGCTCAGAGCCCCGTCCAACCTGACCTGGGATGTTCCCAGGGATGGGGCATCCGCCACCTCTCTGGGCAACCTGGGTCAGCGTTTTGCCACCCTCATTGTCAAAAATTTCTTCCTTCCATCTAGTCTGAATCTGCCCTCTTTTAGTTTAAAACCATCACCCCTTGTCCTATCACTACAGGCCCTGCTAACAGGTCTGTCCCCATGAGCTTAGTCTCCTCCCTGCCTTGTAGCACTTGGGATAGGGGGTACAGACAGTGACGGTGGGATCCAGTGCCCGGTTCTCACTGCTTCCTGGAGGTGTCCCTACCTCTGTCTTGCCTCCTATGTTTGACTTTCCCTGTGGCAAAGCCATCAACCTGTGATTTGGGTTCACTTCTGGTCTTTTTACTGATCCATGTTAGACCCTGGACCACACAGTGGCGGGCAGGAAGGGCTGGAGCAGCTCAAACCACTTTTGCCCCCGGCATAATTTTAACCCAGGACGATGCTGGGGGCTGCTGCTCGGTGGGTGCTGGTGCCAGCATCCCCACGCACACCAGCACATAGCCCACTTACACAGACACAGCTCCTGAGGTGGGGGCATGGGTGAGGGGCTGGAGATGATGCCGGAGCTGCCGGGGGAAATCTTGTCAAGACAAACTGCTGTCTCAATGAGTTTACATCCCAAGGGTGTGGGTATGAGCACATTAACCCGTGACCAGTCCAGCTGGCTTCCTGGCACAGTTATCCCTGGATAGATGATGGGTAATTTTCTCCCCCACACAATTACTTTTGAGTTGATTCCTCAAGCTTTGCTGCTTCATATATCCATAGCCTGAGGCGAGAGAGCGGGGGAGATGCAATTAGAGGAAGTGGAGTGCAACAGTGGATCTGAGCGCTGCAGCTTTCTTCTGTCTCTGTTGCTGTTGAAGGATGTAATCATGTTGCTTGGGGTGTTTGTTCATCACACAGCTTGTTTTTTTTTTAAAGCCTCCATTTCAAAAAATCCTTTTCACAGTGTGGCTCTGCCTGTATTTACATCAGCTCAGGTGAAAGGGTGATAAACGGGCAGGGAGCAGCAGCAAACAGCCAAGATCTGGGAGGATGGGAACCCTTCCTTGGGCTTTCAAAGAGCATCTATTGTGCAGCTGCCGCTGAAGGTTATTGCTGGTAACACATGCTTGTCAGGGGCCCTTCTTTCATCGCACAGAGTAAATAGCCCGATGTAGCAGCTTGGTTTGATTTTTTTTTTTTTCTTTAATGTATTTCATTTGTTTGTCAAAATGACCTGCAGAAAAAAAGCCAGATCAAGGCTGTCCTTACATTGATGTAATATGATAGTTTAAAAAAAAAAAAAAGAGGGATACTATTTCAGTGTGTGATGTTCAGATCCTCCCACACTGTCGTTTTTCCTCTGAGATGCTGTCTGGGTGAGGATGCTTCATTAGGACGATGAGATGGGAGCGATGGGTAGTCTTGAGTGGCTGAGGAGGGGTAGAAATGCCATCCAGCTAATTCACCAGCTCCCTGCTTTGTGTTCATTTTGCTTCTCATAGATTTCACTTCAGGGATTAACAAGTACTTGCAAGAAAAGATCTTTGTGTCAGCTTAATTGCATGTACAGTCTCACGCATGCACTCTGCAGTTAGAAACAAACAGTGCATGCTTTTTCCCTGGTTTATCTGGTGTTTTCCTATAGGATCAGGGGAAGGGAAGTCTTGAGATCTGGAGATAATGTTTTAATTACCAAAAAGAAGTAATAATAAAAAGCTTTGAATTTAAAGCCTCTTGGAACCCCTTCCTGCATCATGAGTAAGCCAGAAGGGTCAGAAACCTGATTATGTTTCAATGTAGGTGGAAAGTGGCACGAAAACATAAATTAACCCTGTGCTTCCTCTCTCTCATAGCAATGCACGGCTGTTTTGACGTTGTGGAGCTGCTCCTGGAGCGGTAAGCAGGCTTCCTCCCAGCACTGCCTCTGCCTCCCCGCTCTCCCCTGCCTCCCATCCACTGCCAGGCTCGCTCCAGCCGCCTGGGCACAACGGGCATTTATGCCGTTCGGGAAGTCCAGCTGCCCTGCATGTGATCCTGAGGCTGTCTCCCTTTCCTCCGGGTTTTTCACGGCCGGTTAGGGGCCTTTGAGACAAGGATGCTCTCCGGGCGGGCTCTGATGGGCTCTGACTTCGCGATGACATAAGCCCCGGTTATATAACTCGGCTCTTTTTCTATGCTGATTCATTCTTGTTGCCTCCGATGTGTCCGAGGCCATACGATAACAACAAAACAAGTTTCTGGCAGCTTGGTTCTGGGCGCAGTTCCTCCAGGCTGAACTCAACTTTCAGGCTTTATTTTCAGGCTGCGACTCCCGGGAGACTGCTGTGAAGTGGATTTAAACCAGCCCGTGCCCAGCCATCCTGACCCTGTTACCTTCCTAACCAGCACTGCCTGCTGCCAGAGCTGGAGCAGTTTTCCCTGGGCATCGCAGCTGCTGCTAGCCGCATCCCGTTAGCTGACTCGTCCCAGCCTTGTTAATTCCTGTCCATGCTTGGCCCAGCATAAATGTAGCCCCGTGATTTGAGCCAGGCTTTCAATTTTAATTCAGTCTTCTCTTATTTCAATGGAGCTTTAACCTGAGTGAGACCTGTGGGCTTTGATTTTGTATGTGGTGTTATTATGTGAAGATATGGTTTTCCTCTCTGCTAGTGCATACCTTACCCCTTCTAGAGATCCTCTGTTTGGGGGGCAAGGGAAAGGTAAGTGATCTGTAGATCTCTGGCTTTCTTGCAGCCTGAGCAAGCTGCACTGGCTAAGTACCAGATCTCTGACCCAAAAAAACCCAGCAGACCGTACCCCAGGCCGTAAAGCACTGAGACAGGTCTACGGACAGGCTTTATATACGCCATATCCGATCCCATCTGCTGATAGTCTCCTGCCCCACCAATGCAAAGCAACTGGTGCAGTAAGGATTTTAGAGCTGCCAACAATTCTGTCCTGGCTTTTGTCTTCCCTCCCAGGTGCCAGTACAAACCTGACAGCAGAGACAAATGTGGAGTCACTCCCTTTATGGATGCTATCCAGAACGGGCATGTCAACATCGCCCGGCTGCTACTGGAAAAACACCAGGTGGGTGCCAAAAACCTCACCTCCCTCCTCCATGACCTGGCGTCAAACTACCAGGACAAGCAATCCACGTGTTCACCGTAACCATATTGTAAAGAACCAAACTCCCAAATTGTAAAGAAGCGAATTGCAAAAGAAGGCAAATTCACCTTGGAGACGAGCAAGATTTTGCCGAGTAAGGCCACCAGGACTCAGCTCATGAGGCAGGGATGTGTCCCCATAGCTGGCGAAGGGAGATGGAGAGACAAGACAGCAGCGGGGGGGACAGGACTTGCCCAGTGCTGCGGGGGCAGCTGTGCCAAAGCCAAATCCGGTACTCGGGAGTGCTGGGGCTCAGCATGGAGGCTGTCATGGCAGCACTGAGGGTGGATAACACGGAGGTGTCTGGCTGCGCCGGCAGCAGCTCATCTCTGGCCTCTCTCTCTTGTGGCAGCTGCTGCTCCTGTGTTGTCTCCCAGTAATCTCCGATTTCCTTGTACAAGGCATAACAGGGATGTCATTAGAGCCAATTGTGTGTAGTAGGAAACAGACCACTGCATTATTTATTGACTGTTGAATTGATGTGAGATGGTTGGAGCCCACCTAACGGCTGATTTGCACAGAGGTGGGGTTGTGCATCCCTTCTGCTCTCCTTTGCCCTCACTTGGCCTCTCCCCTGCGCCAGCTCTCGTGTTCATCGGATGCTGTGCCAAACTGGTGCAGCTCGCTGGCCTGGCAGGAAGCTAGTGTGGCAAAACCAGTGAATCTGTTTGTGCCATGCTGGCATGTTGAATTGGCCAGCTGAGCCCCCAGCATGGCACAGAGTGGACCAGGGAACGTGGTACCATACTTTTCAAGATCACAGGCTTTGGACTTAGCTGTAGTGAGTAGCCTCACCCAGCAAGATGGTTTGATTCCCAGGCTGTGTTTGAGTGCGTAGATACTTGTTGACTTCAGGAGACATTCACGTACTTGTCTTTGATCATCTGGCCCTTACAGGGTGAAACATTTGTGAAGTTTGCTTATGTTTTTAGTCTCACATTTCAGACAATGAAGATGGAATAGTTTATTTAATTTCCTCATTGTGGTGCCCTGGCTTACTGCCATGAAGCAGCACTGGAAACACTAATGGCAGTGTTGCTACCTTCTAGGTTTTATAAAACCATGAGTCAGGGCCACTAGACTTCAAGGGGCGGGATTATATCCTTTAGGATGAGTGCACTGTGTATTACTTCCGTTACCCTTCTTGATTTTACGTCTTTGCGGTTCACATTAGGAGACTCTCAGAAGAGATCTCATGAGGTCATCCGCCCATCTCCCTCCCTCTACCTGTGTCCAGGTTCTTCACCACCAGCACAAAGGTTGGACATGGGTTGTTTCTTGCTGCTTTAAAGAGTTGAAACCCGTCATATGTGTTCCAACTGAAGAGAGAGGGGGCTTGGTGGTTCTCTTCTGGCACTAGTTTTGCTTACCACTTAACAAGCTCAGCAGAGAGCTGGCTCTGGTCTGCAAATCATGGTGCTACCAGCTGTACCAGTCCTGCTGGTGACATCCCATGTGTTCATTGCCATCACCGTGGCTGTGGCAGGCAGACATGATTCTGCTTGGGCTGGTGATCGTCCTTGAAGGTTTGGCCAAGCTGTTCATTGCTTTCCCTTTCCCTCTTCCCCCATTCCAGGCCTGTCCTACAGCTGTGGATGCGCTGGGCGCTCAACCTCTGCACCGGGCAGCTGTCACAGCCCAGGATGAAGCCATCCAGTTCCTCGTCTCTGAGCTGGGTGTTGACGTCAATGAGAGAGTGATGACCCTCCAGCTCACAGCACTGCACTATGCAGCCAAGGTTTGTCCCTGTTCCCAGGCTTCCTCTACAAAGTCTCTGCTAGTTGGTGTGCCACCAGCAGGCATCTAAAACAGGTTGGTTTAGTTGTTCGCCACTGATGGAGGATTTACATTCTTAGCTCATCCTCTGTCACCATCTGTCTGCTCCTGACCAGTCCTATACTGTGTTTAATGGTTTTTAGACTCTCATTAAGGGTGTCCAGCTATCTGCAGAGTGGTGGTGGGTGTCTGAGTTGCTGTTTGACACTCTCCTGCCCACGCCGCTGACTGCGCTGCAGCTTAGTAAACCCTCCTGCCTGGCATGTGGCTGAATGGGATCCTGCGGGAGCAGAGGCGGGTGACGATAGGGCTCAGCTCCCTTGCCACGCATCCAGTTGGCCGTGCTCTGGATAGGGCTTGACCCATGCCTCTAATGAGCATTGCTCTGACAGTCCACTGCCTTTGGACTAAAGTGCAATTCCTGAAGGGAGGCCACCCTGATAAGTTATTGGGAGCTGTAGGTACCAACAGCTCATGAGCTGTGATGGTTCTTCACCAGCGTCTTCTCACTCGCCTGGCAGAGGAGACGTAGATGAAACGCTGCTCAGATTTCTTTTGCTGTCTTTCTTCAGCCCTGGTGGTTTGAGTCCCAGCGGGTCAGTAGCCAGTCTCCATGTTAGCAGCTTGCTGGACAGAAGATGGCTGATGTTTGTCCCAGTAGGCTGGATTCTGGCCTGCCTATGGCCAGACATGAGAAGGGAGAGGTGGAAAGGCAGAGAGAGCTCCCAGGTGATTATCTGTGTCCTTCACACAGGAGCTGTTTTGAATTCCAGGCAGTGAGAGTTGTTTGAGCTTTCTCCTCCTCCCATCTCACGGCCGCGTGGGAAGTGGGGCTTGGTGGGCTGTGGGTCCTGCAACGCTCCCTGGGAGTGCAGAGCAGATCTCAAAAGCCTCACCGCCGAGCAGGATCCCTCCTGCGACCCTGCTGCCTCCCTTCTGCTTGGTGCTGTCGCACCACAGTGTGCAGCATGCTGGCAGGGGAAGGTCCCTGCTCAGATCCCTGCGTGTCAAACCTTTAACATGCAGCACTCGGAGCCTGGTCTAGACTTGTAGTGCGAGCGGAGCAGCATCCCAGCGCCCCACTCCTACAAAAGCATCAATGACACTTGCTGGGAGTGCTGGCAACTGTATTCTCCTCCAGCCCAACCCAGCCATGGCATTTGCTGGCTCCCACAAAGGAGGCCTTTCTCCCAGCTTCCCTTCCTCATGCTCTGGGAAACCATGTTGAAAGCCCTTTTGGTTGCCAAGGGTACGTTTAACAGCAAGGCTATTGGGGAATATAATGTGCCTTGGAGAAGATCCCAGCTCTGTCTTGGCGAGCAGCTGATTGGGGAGCGATTTGATGGGTTTCTCTTCCTTCCCGAGGCTCAGTGTCACTTTATATTTACAGCATCATTTGTTTGGCTGGTGGCTTTGTTGGGTTTTTTTCTTCTTTTCTTATTGCTTTGCATTTATAAATATGTGAAAATCAAATTAGGTTTTCAACTCCATTTGCTGCCGAGGCTGTGGCAGCTAAAGCAGTTCATGGCTTGCTGTCTTTGCTGCTGAGAGGGGGTGTGCGGCAGGGAAACGGGAGCCTTGAGCAGGGGGGACGATGCTACCGGGTCGTACGATAATGGGGTAAAGAGTGGGTGGTAGGGATAAAAATAAGGGCCTTCCATTCTCATGCCGCACGACAAAGACTAATTCCTTGCATTGAAGAAGAAATTACAAAATCGGGCATGTTACTTAAGGAGAGAGGATTTATTTAAGGAGAAGCTTGTGCAGAGAGGAGGGGTGTGGGCACTGTATTGTGTTTTCCCCTGCAGAGTTTAAAATTGACTCCTGGCAGAGGAAAGAGAGAGGACGCTGTGGGTCGTGACGTGTGTAAGCAGAGCGTTCCGCGTCTTCTCGCAGGGCATTACAAATACCGGAGTAATGCTTTAGGAAATGCCGGTGCCTGAGGGTACCTACAGGCAGATGCGCAACAGTCCACATCAGCAACAGGTTATGCTCTCTGAGCTGAAATACACCTCAATAAGAGCAACTCTAGATGCCCGTGGTACTTGAAGTGGATTTAGAGCATAGGAAAACAACGCGGCTTTTTGCTGACATTTAGTCCTTTTAACAGCCAGCTGCCAATTATGAACGGTAAGTCAGGGATCCTACACCTCTGTGGCCAGCTGAAGTTAAAAGCAATTAAATTGAGTTACTTGATTGGAAGCGAGGACTGGAGAGGCAAAGGCAAGATCGGTTGACAAATTAGTGCGCTAATTTGCTATTAAGAAATGTCTTTAGGTTGTGTCACCTAACTGTCAGAGGTCACTTGTGCGTTAACTCCTCCACAGCCACCGGCAAAGGCAAAGCCACACTGGGAGATAATCCTCCAAATCCCTCCCAATTCAAGGTCCCAGCAGTGCAAGGTGGATCTATTGACCACGATCAGGAAGATCGTGTGGGATCTACAGCCGTCTAAAAGCAGATCCACCTGCCTGGATCTGGACTGCATTGTGCGTCCATCGCACCTGCCCTGCCGCGGCACCGCGCTCGGTTTTTGGCTGTACCGCCATCCCCAGAGACAGCTCCGCACTGCAGAGTGATTTTTAATCCCTGTTGGTCTTAATTGAACACTTTTGATTTTAAAACATGGTGTTAAATGTTTGCAGAGGGAATTATGCTCCTGGGATGCCTCTTACTGCCTTTTCAGCCTCTGGGTTGCAGTTGCTGCCGCGGCACACAAGGCTTGCGGACACGCTGACCGAGGGCCGAGCTCTGACTCCTCTCATGGGTAGCTGGTGGAAGGGCTGGAGAAGATGCCTGGTGGCATCTCTGGTGGCCAGTTCCTGCTGGGTAGCAGGAGCGTGTCTGCTGTGCCTGGGCAATCCGTGACTAATGGACCCGATCTGCACTGCCACAGCCAGCCAACCCTGATATCCAGCTGCTGTAAGATCCTCTGGAGCCTGAAGCTGGTAGCCCCAGATTTGACCGTGACAGAGTGGATCTGCATCTCTGCCCTTCCAGGTGCTGTATGCAGTTAGGGACAGATCGCTTGCGGCCTCCTTTCTTTTCAGGCCTGTGTTATTTCTGCCAAATGCAAAGGTGAGAAATTGCGCAGAGCTGATCCTGAATTTCACGTGCTCGCCGCTGCAGGAAGGACACGTGTGCACCATCCAGACGCTGCTGTCCCTCGGCGCCGATGTCCACGCAAAGGATGGGAAAAACCGTTCCGGTAAGGCTGCCGAGCTATTTGTTCACCCTCTGTATGACAGCGAGAGCTTGCTTTAGCAGCAGGCGCGCAGCCTCCAAAGCAGCCTGTGCTGCGTCCGCTCAGCGGAGCGTGCAAGGGGATGCCAGATGCAAGTATGCAAATGGCTCTTGGAGCGGTGCGACGTGTGGGGTTTTTTGCAGCTTTCATTCACTGACTGTCTTCCTGCTGGACTTTCTGATGTCTAATGGCGTGGTTGAGCCTGCGCTGGGGCCTTCCCCATAGGGGAACAGAGATGCTAATTGGTGTTTCTCTTTACCCAGCTGCTTATTTTGCATGAAACTTTCAGGAGCTTAATATCTTTGATACCGCTGCCTCGCCATCAAATTTGGTTGAAATTAGCCAGTTTGAAGTGGTTAGGGTGGGCAAATACGACAACTGCACAAGCTCTTAAGCCTCATCTCTTAGCGAACTGCTTAGGGATGGCGTATGAGCAAATAATGACAGAGAGCTTGGATGTAAATATAGTTGCTATAGTAATGCCAGTGAGGCATCTCTTGCATCAGCATCTCTCTCAAAAAAAGTGTATATATAAATGGTTTCAGTCATTGCCAAAATTGGCAACTTACCCAGTCTTCAGGTTTGCTTAATAACACGCTTCAGCGGCGAGCATGAACAGTCTTGTATCTCTCTCGATCTCTCCCTCCACCCCCTCAGTGAGTAAATTCGAGCTCTGCTGAACTCATCCAACCCTGGGACGTTCGTGGTGGCTCCTTATGCCCATCGGCTGCCCCGTTGCCCAGCTCCTTTGCTGCGTTAGTGTCAGTGCTCCTGGGCCACTTCTCACCCAGACTCCACTCCTGCAAAGTGTCCTGCATGGATTATCCATGGGGATCAGGATACCCTGTGGTCAACATCAGCCTGCGGCAGGACCTAATGATGCTCAGCATAAAAGATACTCACCCCTGTGCAGGATTAGGCCAGGAGATCGAGGCTGGCTCACCCTGTTACACAAGCCAAGTGTAACAGGACCGCTGAACTGTGCTGGAGCCACGCTGGCTCAGCGTGCCGGCTGTCGGAGGGGTCTGCAGGGTGAGCTGGGGCTTGGGCTGGACTTATTTCACCCTCCTCCTGTGGGATGCCTTCTGCTGCACGCAGTGCATGGAAACCTTTCTGATTTACTCCCTGCAAACCTCGTTAGCTTTGGCTCAGCCAGGTTAGTACTGCTTGATGGATTGGAGGGACTAGTAACCTGTGAGGGGAAGACTGGGGTAAGGTGGGCTGGTAGCTTTTCTACCAGCATGGCTGGGTGTGGAAGAGGACGTGTCCCCTGCTTGGGCAGGTTTAGTCGTGCCATCGCTGCCGCAGATGTGCGCGGCTGCGGCAGCTGAGCCCTGCCATGCCGTCACACGGCTGCTTGGCTGCGTGTTGCAACTGGGAAAAGTCATTTTTCATCCTTGGTGTGTTTCTTCTGCTGACTCGGTTTCCTTCCCTGGAAATCCGATGTTCACATCTGAAGCGGGCTGAGGCTGAACCCACCAGGCCATCTCTGCTCCTGTCCCGACATCTTGTCTCCCCCACAGCCCTGCACGCGGCGTGCGCTGGGCAGCAGGCGGATGCCGCACGGATCCTGCTCGGTGCCGGGCTGCAGGATGCCCCGGATGGTACGGGCACGCTGGCGCGGCAGCTCGCGAGGAAGCCAGATGTCATCCAGGTTTTCCAGGAAACGAATGTCAGCGCGTGAGACCAACGGGGAAAAAAAGAAAACGTGTTTCATTTCAGCATGGTACATTAGTTATTGCTTAACAACTATTCAGATTTGGGCAAAAATGATGGGATTTTTGCTCAGAAATTGAGCAGAGAAACCAAGCTTGACACCTGCGAAATATGTTTAAGAGAAAACATATTTTAAATAGGATTATCTCAAAAAGATAGTGGATGTAATGGGTCTGGGCTGTCACATTTCTGTACTGATCCCATCCTTGTAAATTTATGGCTGATCATAGAACCACAGAATAGTTTGGGTTGGGAGGGACCTTTCAAGGCCATCTAGTCCAGCCCCTCTGCAGTGAGCAGGGACATCTTCAACTAGAGCAGGTTGCTGGAGTCCCATCCAACCTGGCCTTGAATGTTTTCAGGGTTGTCCACCTCTCTGGGCAACCTGTGCCAGTGTTTCACCAACTGTTCTTCTTTCACTTCCAGATTTCGGGGCTGAACTTACGTCGTCTTGTGCAGCACCCAGCATGTCCAAACAGCTGAAGCCACAGCTCCCTGAAGTATAACCATCAAAGGAAGGTGCCCCATGGGCCGCTGCTAGGTGACCTCTGAGGACCTGCATGGTTTGAACTGACTGGAGCCTACCAAGCTCTGGATGGGATGTTTCCATACAATGGACATCCTGAAAGAGAAGATACGCCTGGATCGTTGATTTTTATAGCCCTTAATGGACCTACTCATCACTCATTTCTTAAGTTAAGTGGCCACCTCTTTCAGTAGCCCCTGAGAGGCCGAGTGCAGTGCAGCGTAAGTGAGCCCTTGGGGACTCTTCTTTCATCGGGTTTGAGCTGCAGAGGACAAGTGCAGGGAGTCTTCAAGCTGCACCAACCTCTTATGGCCTTTTTCATGGCCCAAACCTAATTCCAAAGCCTGCTGAAATCAATAGTAAGACCTCAAGGTTGCAGTGACTTCAAGGGTCTTTGGAGCAGGCTAAAAAAGAGGTTATCTGTTAGTCCAGACAGCCTTGCTTGGCACTTCTCACCACCAATGAACTTCAAAGAGCAGCATATTTTTTTTTTAAGTGTATGGGGAAATGGTTTAATACTTAATGTAGCCAGTAAGTTTCTAACAGCCTGGAATACACATAAAGGTGAGAGCTACTGTAGCAGTTTGGTTTATTTGTATCCATCTAGAATTATAAATTTGGTTTTGCATAGAGACATGGCACACCCCTGTCTATATGTAAGGTCGAGACATAAAAAACAACAGGATTCCACGGGTTTGGCGATAGCAGATGCTAAAAAGCAGACAGGCCTATAACTGAGCGAGCGAGCTAGGTTTTGCTCTGCCCAAGCTGTGGTGCTCGCATCGTGGTTTGACGCACGACCCACGTGCTCCTGGATGGGTTTAAGACGATGCTGAGCTCCGAGTGAGAAATTCCCATCCCACGGTCCCTGGAGCAGAATTTGCCGTGATGATCCTAAGCCAGAGCGACAACAGCACCATGCTCCTCTTGAGTCAAACAGCCTTCACAGCAGGGTTCGGGTCTCCTCCCCTCTGCCAGCTCCTGTTGCACGAGGAGAGGCAGCACGCTCACAAAAATAATTTGGGGGGCTGTGAGAAGGGGCTGATAGCTTGCAGGAGGGGGAGAAGCAGGGCTTGGTAGCATCTTAAGACTCTTCCAAATGTGCCTGTGAAGACCTGCTTTTTGCCAGTCTTTCCCGCTCTTGTTTATCCATCTGTGAATGAGATTCTTCTCCACCAGGGAGGAAAAATGGATTGATGCTGGAAGGCACTAACGGTGCAGGGTGATGGGCGCCGTATCAGCTCCTGGGCAGGCGAGGAAGTAGCTTTATTCCTCTAAAGGCCCTGAATCCTTCCATAAATCTGTCCCCAGCCTCCATACAGCAAATGGCAATATTGCCACCCAGTAAATGCAAGGGGCTGCTTTATTCCCACTTTTCACGATGTTAGCAAACCATGGAATAGCTGTTTCCTCCCCGTATCCCTGCCAGCAAGTTCAGATTGCTTGCGAGTCTAAGCTTTTATGAGAAAGCAAGTGAGAATGTTTTCAAATGCCTCTCTCTAGCTTTCCTGGCCATGGAAAATACCTTGAAAACACAAAACTTGCAGTATTTTGAAAGGTTTCACTGATCTCCAAAGGCTTATGGACAGTAGCAGAGGGCCTGTCTGCCTGGGATGGGGAGCTCAGGCACTGTGCTCTCATCCAAAAGCGAGACGTAATGGCAGGTCTCCAGCACTGTCTTTTATTTACCCTTCCTTTAAATCTGTCCCTCAGGCAATAAAAAAGATGGGTAAAACCAAACTGGCTGTTGTCCTCATGGGTGATCAGGTGCAAAAGGACCTTAGAAAAGGAACGTGGATTCAGTTGTATGCCTGCAAAATTAGCCTGAGGAAGAGCCCTTCTTGTCTGTCTTGGTTTTTTTGCTGTCACGTACTCGCTGCAAGGTGGGAGCAAGGGGTCAGGACACCTTTATGTCCGCGAGAGCGTGCTGCAAAATGCTGGGAAGAGCTCGGCGGCGCTAGACCGCGGGTGTGCGAACCCCCATTGCGTTCCTGGCAGACATCTGGCGTGGAGAGACGGTTACGGGCGCCTGGTCCCCGGGGAGAAAGCCCGGGAGCTGGGCTTGGTGCCACGCAGCGCTGAAGGCAGCTTGGAGCGGAGCCTGGCAGCCGGCGCACGGCTTCG